ATATATATACACACATATATACATATATATGTGTATATATATATATATGTATATATATATATATATATTTATTAAAACCAAAGTATATATCTTTGGTTTAAATAAATACTGCCTGAAGGCAGTGCCTTAACTGATTCAGAGGATTTTTCTTTTAGGGAAAATATTTTGGGAGCAGTGTCAGGTTAGTGAGACAAATATTTTAGATCCTGTGTCCATACCTACCTAGATAGCTAGCCTTGTACAATGAGAGGGTTGACAAACCTTTTCTGTAAAAGTCCAGATAGCAAACGTTTCAGCCTTCAGGATAGTTAAACAATCTATTGCAACCCCCAACTCTATCATTCTAGTATGAATCAACCATGGGCAATATGTACAAAGCAGGTGTGGCTTCTTGCAATAAAATTTTCTTTGCAAAAACAAGTGGCATGCCAATTTCAGCTCATGGGTCATAGGACTACTGCATGGGTGTTCTTTATATTGCTCTATTATTGAGCCCTTCATCAAGATCAAAGCTTGTACTCTGGGAATGTGATGTAGGCATCTTACAATGAGACGATTGATGTGCACTTGCTGGGGTAAGATTCCTAACGCGGCTGCCACTCCTTGGCGGAATATTTGAAGCAAAGTTATGTTCAGCTTATTTACTTCCATTTGCAGTGTCTGAAAAATAAAAGAAAAAAAATCCAAATTACAGTAAATCTTTGGGTTAGGATATTCATCTCCTGACATGATGATTGGCCCCCACAACTTCTGTAACTTTGGTAAATTCACTCTCATGGTACTTCATTGCATTTTTAGTGGTGACACCATCAAAAGGATGTTTTATGTTAGATTTTAAATGGTGTCAGTTAAAAAGAAGCACATTACATAATAACGCTATCTGTGCAGTTTTAATCAATAACACAAACAAGAACAATTGATAAAGAAATTTATTGAAATATATTCTGACATATTTTACTTTAGCTCAAATCCAAATGACAGAATAAAACAGGCAGTTAAATGTATTTCAATAGTCCAAATGAAGGATGTCTTTAATTTGTGTTCACAGCTAGTCATAGAAAAAGATACTATATAAGTTTCATAGTGTCAGACTTGGCATTTTTGTTTGTTTATTTATTTATTTATTTTCATATAATGATTTGTTCCCAATGAAAAGCAAAAGACTGAAATAATACATTTTCAAATCTGGTAAAGAAATCAAAGGTATTGATGATTTGGTTTAAAATAAATGGTTGCTATTGAATTGTATGGGCAAACACACTTAATTTTCAAGTTTTCTCCTTAAAAAAATATCACTCAGTTTTAAAAGTTTCTAAATTGGCCCTCCCTGGTGGCGCAGCAGGTTAAAGCACAGCACTAAGAAGCTTAAGCCACTTCCACATGAATTCGATTCCCACCTGCCCTGGAGGAGATCCACGTGGCGTGGCAGACCTCTCCTGACCCACCCGCTGCTCCCCTCAGCAGTGTACTTTGTCGATCTACCTGTTCTACTCCCCACTCTGTCTCTGGTGAATCTTCTCACCCTCCGCATCTCTGGCCTGTACCCCAGTTCTGTATGAATAAATAAATAAATCTTTTAAAAAATGTTTCTAAATTAAAAATAAAATTATATTAATAGTGTAGCCTTAACTTAAGCCACTGATGTCATTATTCTATTTAAACCATAAACTAGTCAACCAGGTATTTTAAAAAATGCATCTTCATCATTTGATATTTTACAAGGAGTGGGGGGAGACCAAAACTTTATGTGTTTCTTACATTTTTATAAAGCTTTATTCTCTAAGTTGACCATAGTAGGTTATCAATAACCATTGAATGGCAACAATAGTATCTGTTCTGTCAAATGAGGTATACACATCTATGTATATGCTTCTCTGATAAAGAGCTTGATTTACAAGTACAGTCTACACTAGTATAAGAATTCTTGCAGAACTGTCTCCTTGTTTGCTCCAAAAGGAGAATACTTCTTCAAGAATTCATACAATTGTTATAACACCTAAAGTTGGTAAAGATAAATGACAGATGATTAGACCAAATGGTCCATGCTACAGGAATGAGAGGAAGCTCAAGAGGTCAACAGAGACTCAGTGGGTGCCAGTTAAGTTGGCAGATCCTGTGAAGAAACTCCGAACAGAATTTACACTTTCAGATCTTTTAATGTTTTCATGGAAGTAGAAGTCAACAGGGTTTGGTTACCATAGGGAGCTGAAATTGTACTTCCCGCCAAAAAAAAAAAAAAGAGATCAAGAGAAGGGCAGAATTCTTGAAAATCTCTACCTAATAGCCCAACAACATTAGGTACAACCTATTTGTGGAAGGGGAAAGGAGAATCACGAGGATTGGTAGAAAGCCAAATCAATATTCAATCAATCTAATTCATTTTTTAATTAAATAAAAATCATCTATGGGCCCTCCTTGGCACCATAGCGGGTTAAAGCACAGCACTAAGAAGCTAAAGCCACTTCAGCATGAGTTTGATTCCCGCCCTGGAGGTGACCACATGGTATAGCAGACCTCTCCTGACCAGCCCGCTACAGTGTAATTCTTCAATCTGCCTGTTCTGCTTCCTACCCCACTCTGTCTCTGGTGAATCCTCTCACCATCCCTGCACCTCTGACCTGTACCCCAGTTTTGTATGAATAAATAAATAAATCTTTTAAAAAATCATCTTAATAGTACACAGTTATTTTTACTGCCCTTTTCTAAGGTCTAATAGTGTCTCAAATATGTAATAGCATAATTTAATATAGAAAATAAGATTTGAGCTCAACCGTGAAAGATGAGAATTTGAAAATGAAGCGATGACAAAAACGACATATTTTTGAGCATGTTCTATGTCTCCACTAAGAAAGCCCAAGTGGTTAGAAAAACTCTGTCCAACCGGTGGCTCTGAGCAACAGAGGCTCCTTTATTCAGCAGCTAACTTTGAGCTCTGCAAGGCTGTGCAGCTGTTATGGGTGTGGGCATTGGATTGGAGCCTGTTTACTCCCTTTTGTTTCAGGACCAAAGATAGGTTCCTTGAGAGGGGCTTGGAAATCCGGTGAGAGCCATTTGTTCAGTCAGTGCCTGTGAGGCAACCCGGTGAAAAGCCTGACTGTTTGTCAGGCAGAGTGAGCAGGCAGGCAACGCCTCTGATCCCTGGAGGCAGGTTTGAAGCTAGCGGACTGCACTGGGAACCAAGGGCCAGGGGGTTAAGTACACGCCTGAGAACTCAATCCCCAGAGCTGTGATCAACCCAGGGCCTGTCACTGTGGAAACAGTATTAAAGTCAATGTTCCTCAGATTGAAACAGTACATGGAATAGGATGGGAACTCAAGATTAAAATTCACTCAAAAAGGCAATTTCCAAAAAGATAAAACACTGTACGTTTGAAACAAAAAATTTTGGTTACCTAACAAAAGCAAACAAGTGAGTTGAACGGATTAGTTTGAATGAGCATCATATATTCATTGCCTCAAAATTTGAATAATTTGCCTCAGTTCTGCTGCCTGTGAAAAGCTGGGTTGCTTGCACAGTGCTTGCACAATTTCTGACGATATGTCATGAAATGGCAGTACTAAAATGCATGATGAACAGATAAGTAAATATCTGAAGGCTTACTATATCTATCACAGATTACATATAAGTACAATTTGAGAGAAAGAAAAGATTCTAGACAATATGAGAATTTTATTTCAGAGAAGAAAAAAAAAGCCTATAACTCCCTACAGATTTCAGGATTAGGCTTCCTCCTTCCTTCTTGATAGATGCTTGAAACTCACAGCTCCTTCTCACCCTGTCAAGTGAAATCATGGCAACTATGTGAGGACATGCATTCCCGTGGCAATAACACCAGTTCACACCTGTGAAGTTGCCATACAACTGAGCTAGATATATTTCAGCTTGAATTCTAAATTCATTTGGCCATTTATATCATTTAATGTACAAATGATTTAAGCTTTTAATTTCAAAGACACCAAAATATTTTTCCCAGATACAAGTGGCAAGCTATTCCACAGTAGTCAGTAATGCCGATAGAGCAATGAAGAACAAGCATTTTTATTGTTATTATTAATAAAGATAACAAAAAATCAAACATAATAAAACATTCAAAGATTTCAAATTCCAGCTGTTCTACAATTTATTGGGTCTCTGCCTTGTTAAGAGATCCTTAAGCCAAGTCTTGTACCCAGGGATAGGTGACTTCCTCCACTACAAAGGAAGTGCCAGTAAGTCCTAAGACTTTCTCTGGTCACTAAACTTTCCACAAAAGAAGTTGAATCTGTGAGTGTTTTGCTTATGAGATATAAATCAATCTGATGAAATGGATTAACACTTAGCATTGAAATACAGGCACCAGCAATGTTTAAAGTGCTAAGCATTGATTGGCTTTTAGCCATTTATTTTTAAAGAATGGTTGAATTATTTTTCCTGGGACATAGCAGGTTTCTCCTCTTGATGTCATTAGATACCTACTTGTCATTCATTACATATCTACTCCTCATCATCGATCCCCGCCCCCAAGAGTCAGGGGGGCCTTCCCTGGTGGCACGACGGGTTAGGACGCAGTACTGGGAGCTAGCCACAGCCGCTCCACTGTGAGTCCCACCTCTGACCCCTGGAGGTGACCCACATGGTGTGGCAGACCTCTCCTGACCCGCCCACTGCTCCCCTCAGCAGTGTACTTCGTCAGTCAGCCTGTTCTGCTCCCCACTCTGTCTAGTGAATCCTTTCACCACTGCTGCACCTCTAGCCTGTACCCCAGTTCTGTATGCATAAATAAAGTCTTAAAAAAAAAAGTCAGGAACACAGATGGCCTCAACAGGGAGAAGAAGGTCAAATGGCCATCTCTACACCGATGTCCTCAAAGTCCCTGAAAGGAGTCCAGTCTGAATTACCCCCAGTCACAAATCATCAGCCTCTTTTAGGGTCAAGCCTATCAGTAGTAATCCACCCACCTGTGGGAGAAGGTCCCTTTAGTGATCCTCAGTTTCTCTAACTCATTCCCTGTAAGGAGTCACCCCTTTTGTCAATGTATTCACTTGCATTGACAAATGAATCCAGGAATAAAGAAAAAAGCTTCTCTTTCATGTCCTTGAATAACAACAAAAATTGCTGACCTATGGAGGTCTTTGGCATTCATTTTAAAAACTATTCTTTTCAATGAGTTCTGCTTTGTTTAGTCTCTTAAAATTCTCTGATGACTTTCTAGTATGTTTAGAATTAAATTCAACTCCATAAGCTTCTAAAGCCCACCCTTGTCTGACTCATTACTTCAGAACTTTACACAGTATCCTTTTTTTCCAGCCCCTTGGCCTTTTTTCCATATCTTTAAACAAGCTTTGTTCATTTTACCTCACATTCCTGGCACTTCCTAGGCCTCCTTAGAGAGGCCTTCCCACCCCCGCCACTCGATACTCTATTTTCCTCCCAACATCTATTGCATTCTGACTGTTTCTTGTTTATTTATTTGCTTATTGTGTATTTCCCTGCACTAAGATGTGGTGTATGTGACCTTGTTAGGCTGGATTGTTGTGTTAGCCCTGCTCTGGGGTTATTTCACACATCCTTGTAAAATAAGGATTACATGAATCATCCCAGTCAACATGTGTGTAGTGAGGAAATGGAAGAATCTGGCTTCCCTGGTAGGTATAGAAAGGGTTACACCAAGACGATAGTA